GATGATGATGATGAGATGAGATGATGATGATGATGATGATGATGATGATGATGATGATGATGATGATGATGATGATGATGATGATGTTGATGTTGATGTTGATGTTGATGATGATGATACCAAGGTGGTACCAAGGCGCCAAAGAGCGAAGGGTGACGTAAACAACTCGACAACAACGCTCCCAAGAGCGAGCGGCAACGCAACTATCTCAACTGGCATTGTCACAACAACATTCACCACTGTTGCCCATTGCTGGGCCCCTCCCCCCCCCAACCTCCTTATCACCCGCATGGTGGTCGTATATATATATATATATATATATATATGTATATATATCTATATATATATACACATGCACACGCATATAGCGGCGCACTGGGCTCGGAGGCCGAGGGCCAGAACCTCGACCGCACATTGGGTCCCCGGGCCTGGGCCCGCCTCTGGGAGGCCTAAAATCGCCCCGGCGGAGCCCTCAGACGGCAATCCCGGCGGCCCCAGACTGTCTCGAGACACCCCCAAGATGCCGTCCAGGGGTCTCTGGCGACGCACGATGCGTTTTAAACTGCCCTGGAGGCCCCCAAGACGCTCCGAGAGGCCTTTAAGATGCCGCCCGAGAGCACCCCGAGAGGGCAAAATCGTTAATTTTGATGTTTTTTTTCACATGTTTTTTGCATTCTCGCTGTTTCGCGTTTTCGGCACTAAAGCACCGCCCAAAAGGCCCCCCAAACCGTTCCAAGACGGCCCAAGAGGCCCCCAAGATGGCCCCAAGACGGCCCAATCCGTTGCCATTTTGGCTCAAGTCATCAGCGGCACTTACGCCCACTCCAACGCCATCGCATACACAATCTTGCCTCGCGGCAGCGGGCGCCCTTTCCCCCTCAGAGAACGCACGTGCGCATGGCCTTCGTGCAGATGGCCATCGTGCGCCTTGGCCTCCTGGTCGTGCAGGCCGGCGTGGTGGAGGGCCTATTCGTCGACGCGGTTCGCGTGCCCTTCTCATCGAGCGACGTCGATGTTCTGGATATCAGACAACAAATTCCAGACTGTCGGTTCAGAGGGGCGTTCACCAGTGGCAATTACGCGTACCTCACGCCTTACTTCAAAGGCAACGCTGGGTGGGGCGACGTGCTCGTGCGGTTGGACCTCTCGGATTTCTCGACGGTGGAATCGCTGGACCTGAGGACAATCGACAGCGACCTGCAGTATTTTGAAGGAGGATTTGCTCATGGCGACTACGGGTACCTGGTTCCAACATCATCAACATCATCACACAACCTCAGAATGGGCAAAGTCGTCAGATTCAGCTTGTCAGATTTCAGCCTCAGCACCGTGCAAGTCCTCGACCTTGCGCAGACCGACGCCACTCTGAAAGGGTTCAGCGGTGGGTTTACCGATGGCGCGTGGGGTTACATGGTGCCGTGGTACCCTGCCGCCACCAACGCTGGCCGGACCCACATCTATTCTGGCAAAGTGGCTCGGTTCAGCCTGGCAGATTTCAGCACGGTGCAGGTGCTCGACTTAGAGGCGATCGACCCGAGCCTTGAGGGTTTCTACAAGGGGTTCTTCGCTGGCGGTTGGGGGTATTTACTCAAAACCAGGACTGGTCAGCGTGGCAGATTTTACTACAGTGGAAGTGCTCCCCAACGAACACCGACGCTGGCCTCGCCGGCTTCTTCGGCGGATTCACCGACGGTACGTGGGGGTACGTTGTGCCGTACCATTCGGGGAGTGGCGGACGTGGCCACTTTGGTAAGGTCCCGCGGTTCAGGCTGGACGACTTCAGTACGGTGCAAGTGTTGAATCTAGCAGATCCAGAATCCGGCCCTCGACAGGATTTTTACAACGGTTTTCACGGACGGTACGTTCGGGTATGTGATGGACTACTACAACGGCGCCTACCACAGGAACGGTGGTGAGTTCAGCTTGGCCCGATTTCTCCACATCGAGGTGCGCGGACTTTGCTTAAGAGGGGGCAATGATCAATGACGGCGGGCGGCTTCGTGCCCGGCGGACGACGGCTACGCTATGTCCCGGACAGGCTCGGGCAAGGTCATCCGCTTCGACGCCCAGCCTGCCGCCCAGGCGCCCATTCCAGCCTCGACGCCTCCGCCGACGCAGGCCATCAACTGCTCGGAGGAAGCCGACTCCATGATCGGCGACTCCTTTGTGGATATCTTCATGATGGCGCCACAGCCCTCATTGAAGTTGTCCGCCGAGAACGACTCCGAAGTCGCAGCCATCCTATCGATCATGAAGGGATCGGCTCGGTTCGGTTCGGTCCGGTTCTGCAGCCGGGTCGGTTTTGCTTGGCCGGTTCGGTTTGGCATCGGTCCGGTTTCGGCCGGTTCGGCTTGGGCCTGCCGCCGGTTCGGTTCGGTTCCGGTTTTCGCGCGGTTGGGTCCGACCGGTTCGGTTCGGTTCGAGTGGCCGCTCCGGTTCGGTTCGGCCCGACTGGTCAGGTGCGACGTTGGGCGCCCCGTCTGCGTAAGCGACGACCCAGTTTGAAAAAAAGGGAGGAGGAGGAGGAGGAGGAGGAGGAGGAGGAGGAGGCGGAGGCGGAGGCGGAGGAGGGAGGAGGAGGACGACGAGGAGGAGAAGGAGGAGGAGGAGCAGGAGGAGAAACGTGGAGGCGTGGAGGCGCGAGGCCCTCCAGCGACGTGCCCCGACGGGGGTCGCAGCCCCGAGGGGGGTCGCAGCCCCGAGGGGGGTCGCGCCCCGAGGGGGGTCGCGCCCGCCAGGGGGGTCGCGCCCGCCAGGGGGGTCGCACCCGCCAGGGGGGTCGCAGCCCGCCAGGGGGGTTGCACCCGCCAGGGGGGTCGCGCCCGCCAGGGGGGTCGCAGCCCGCCAGGGGGGTTGCGCCCGCCAGGGGGGTTGCACCCGCCAGGGGGGTTGCACCCGCCAGGGGGGTTGCGCCCGCCAGGGGGGTTGCACCCGCCAGGGGGGTTGCGCCCGCCAGGGGGTTGCACCCGCCAGGGGGGTTGCACCCGCCAGGGGGTTGCGCCCGCCAGGGGGGTTGCACCCGCCAGGGGGGTTGCACCCGCCAGGGGGGTTGCACCCGCCAGGGGGGTTGCGCCCGCCAGGGGGGTCGCGCCCGCCAGGGGGGTCCCGCCAGGGGGGTTGCGCCCGCCAGGGGGGTTGCACCCGCCAGGGGGGTTGCACCCGCCAGGGGGGTCGCGCCCGCCAGGGGGGTTGCGCCCGCCAGGGGGGTCGCGCCCGCCAGGGGGGTTGCGCCCGCCAGGGGGGTCGCACCCGCCAGGGGGGTCGCGCCCGCCAGGGGGGTTGCGCCCGCCAGGGGGGTCGCGCCCGCCAGGGGGGTTGCACCCGCCAGGGGGGTTGCGCCCGCCAGGGGGGTTGCGCCCGCCAGGGGGGTTGCACCCGCGAAGGGGGTCGCGCCCGCCAGGGGGGTCGCGCCCGCGAGGGGGGTCGCACCTGCCAGGGGGGTCGCACCCGCGAGGGGGGTCGCACCCGCGAGGGGGGTCACAGCCCGCGAGGGGGGTCGCAGCCCGCCAGGGGGGTCGCAGCCCGCCAGGGGGGTCGCAGCCCGCCAGAGGGGTTCGGTTCGGTTCCCGTCGGTTCGGTTCAGGGGCCGCCCGGTTCCGGTTCGGTTCCGGTTCTGGTTCGGTTCGGTCTCGCCGGTTCGGTTCTGAATGAATTCGGTTCGGTCCGGTTCGGTTTTCTACGTTCCTGGTTTTGGACCGGTTCGGTCCGGTTCGGTCACGGTTCTCGGTTCTCGGTTCGGTGCGGTCCCTTCATAATCGATTTGTGGGTGGCCGTCCGTTTCGGAAGAGGGCTCCATCTTCTTCTCTGCAGACATAGGGTCCGAGACCTTGAGTGCGCCGACATCGCCATGCACCTCATGGTGGACACCGGACGGCACAACTCACCCAGTTCTAAAGGCTGCTTTCTTGGCTTCCGGTTTGGACCAGTGCGGCCTTAACAGTACGGTCGACGAGAACGGGCAGACGGTTTGGAGCGGAAATATCAGCCTCTTCGTGGGCCTACGCCCGTCACAATCTGGCTTGGACGAGAGGGTTCTCTCTTACTGGACTTGGCCGATCAGCATTACCCGTGTTCACTCCAGCAAGTACACATTTGCTGTGATGCCTCTCAGCACCTTCGGAGCCCATGGAGATGGGCGAGTCACCGACCGAGAGTTCGAGGAGATGCCCAATGGGCTAATCGAGGTGGCAGGAAATGCTTCAGTCGGATCACGCATGTCCTTCTTCAGCAGCGCCAGCTTCGACGAGCCAAGCAATTTCACTCTGTTCAAGGCTGGCGAAGAAGCGTACGTGGAGCTGAAGCTCATCGACGACAACTTTAGCATGAAGTTGACAAAGGTGGTTCTTTCAACAGAGAGCACCCCGAACGATACCGACAGCATCGTCCACGACTTCACAAACGAAACCAAGGAAGTAACGAATGGCGACGGGAAGATCGACTTCACGGTTATCCTTAGACCATGCTTGGAGTGCTTCTTCATCGTTGAGGGCGAGAACGTACCCAACGGGCGCAGACTGCTGTCAGGGCATGGCGGCGCGATGAAGGCTTTCCACGCTTTCGAGATGACGGTGGAATTTGATCAGAAGGTGTCGGTGCTCGCCTCCATGAAGGGCGCCCAGGGAGAAGGCATGATCGACGAATTGACGACAGCTATGCGAGGACATTTCGGCAAGGGATCTGGCCGACCCATCCATGCTGTCCAAGTGTGGATCGATCCAGGCATGGAGCCAGATGCTTTGTACATGCGCGCGGCCATCGGCGCGGACAACATGAGCAGTGCCAGCGACGTTGCCGCGAAACTCCAGCGCACAACCATCACCGATCTCATTATGGACGCGGCCGAGAGCGTTGGCATGCAGAGGGACCACCTACACGCAGATGTAGTTGAGGTGGTAGCGCCAGGCGACGCCGCCCACAGTGATTGGTTTTTGGTGAGCTGGCAGTACATGGTGTTGGCCAGCCTAGTCACCGTGCTTGTCTTTCTGATCTGCGTCGCTTCGACGCTGTATGTCAAGGCGAAGCGGCATGCACGTGAATCTCAAGACGCCAATCCTTTGATTGCAGCTGACTGCTCGCATGCCAGGATCATGGACATTTTGCACTCAGGGGGGTGCTCGGACGATGAAATTGACTTCATCATGTCCGAGCAGGCTCCAGCGACTCGGGCCTAGGCGCAGGGCCGGGTTTGCAATTCACAGAGCACGAGAGAAATTTATCTGTGCATTCTTGCTGGCAACTCCGCCCCAGCACTATATGCTCCAATCGGCGGTGGAGCTACGATCCATCACGTCATTGGTACCTCCCAGACCAGGGATTCTATTTCCCAACCATCCTGTGGTGTTGGGTCCTCGTTTTGAAGAGACGGTGCCCCGCGTTGCGGTACTCGCTGCTGCTTATGGTTGGGTCCTTCGCCAGGCTAATTTTCTCCCTCGTGAGGGATTTCCGACGCTCTTTGCATCAGGCCGGAGTTCAGCAGTATCCTCTGCAGCCCGGCATGCAGCGAATGAGACAGCCGCCCCTATTGGACTTTAGTTGCCTGTTCCCAACATGATTGCTACGGCATTGCTTTCATGCTCGGGGTAGTTCGGTATTTTTCTCGTCACACAATGCGTTTTCACAGTGATTTCCCCCCTCCCTCTCCTCTCTCTCTGCGCAGCTCACTGCCGCCTTGTTCGGCCCAGAAGCGCAAAGAATGACGCGCTTCGGTGCTCGCCCGGGTTTGCTATGACGTCACCTGTATCTTGGCCAGGTTCGCACTGCAAATGCACCATCCCAGCGAGCATATTTGAGCCGATGCCGGCGGCAGTGATAGGGAGAGGGGGAAGAATAACACAACTCGGGGGGCCTTGGTCTCGGGGGGTCGGGGAACTTCCTTTATCAGCGCTATGCGGTGCCTCTCATCCTGAGTAAGCGCCGCGCTGATGGGTGATGCGTCCATGCCGCTACGTCTACGGCGGGGCTTTCACACTTCGGACTTTTTGTTCGCCCGGGGAGGCAAATGCCACTCCCCGAAACAGTGTCATCCGAGTCCCTCCTCCTCTTCCACCATTCGTCTTTAGAAAAACACGAATTGCCATTGCAACTCCTTCCCCAAGATAGCACTCGGGGCCATTTCAAGCGTGCGACCCACGCTGCGTCCCGCAGAGTAGAGATTTAGAGGATCTCGAAGGTGCGGGGGAACTTCTTTTCAATGCCATGTGAGCTGCGCCGGCATAGCAGCCTGTCCTCGTAGGCGCGTGCCGCTATTGCTCGTCGTGCGCACCATCCTCCGCCTCCATTGCTCCTGGATCCTCGGTCCTGGATGAAGTGTCCGTCCGCTCTGCCACCTGGTTCCTGCTCCTCCTTCTCCTCCTCCTTAGATCTTGATCTTGAGTTTTGAGCTGTGCACCAGACATAGGGAGGGGAAGGGCTTATGGGGAAGATCTGGGTGGCCGTCACAGGGGCACTTCCGCCGCTTCGGCGGTCGGCGTGGCGTAGGCGAGTCAGCCCACCGGGCTGGCAGCGTTGCGCACTACAACCTGGGTGCCAGGCGAGCCCCCCCCAAAAAAAAGATGGCCCCAAGACGGCCCAAGAGAGCCCCGAGACAGCCCCAGAGCCGCCGAAAGCGGCGCAAGAGGGTCCCAAGAAGGCCCCAAGAGGGGCCCAAGAGAGGGAACGCGAACTGAAAAATCAAGCTCTTCGCCCCAAGATGCCCCCAAGAGGCCCCAAGAGGCCCCCAGGATACCCCCAAGAGGCCCCAAGAGGCCCCCAAGAGGCCCCAAGAGACCCCCAAGAAACCCAAAAGAGGCTCCAAGAAGTCCCAAGACGGCCTCCGGACGGCCCAAGGGGCCCCCAAGATACCCAAGAGGCTTCCAAGAGGTCCCCCAACAGAGCTCGAAGATGCCCAAACACGTGTATGTATGTTCCATCGGTTTTTGAACAATTTTGGCATTTCCGCTTGTTCCGCTTCCCGACGCTGCAAGACGCTCCGCGAGGCTCCGAGGATCGCCCCAAGACGGCCCAACAGGCTTCAAAAGCGCCCCAAGACGGCCCAATAGGCTTCAGAGGCACCGACGAGACGTCCAAGACGGCCCGGGAACTCGAACCGAGAACCCGAGATCTTCGCCCCAGGAGACCCCCAGGAGGCTTTAAGATGTCCCCAAGAAGCCCCAAAGAGGTCCAAAAGAGCCCCGAGTGAGGCCCCGAGGGCACTTGAGAAAAAACGGGATGTCAAATTTTTGTTTTCAAAATTCGCCTGGCAGTTTCGCTATAACTTTTTCCCAACCAACCTGTGTTGTTGGGGCGTCGTTTTGAAGAGACGGTGGCCCGCGTCTCCTCTCCTCTCCTCCTCCTCCCCCTCCTCCTCCGCACACCCATTTCGGCACACCCCTCACACGTTTCGTGGCCCCATAGGGAGCTCCACCGAAGGTCCCAGTGGGTGTGCCCGCATGCGTCCCGCACACCCATTGCACACCCCTCACACGTTTCGTGGCCCCATACGGAGTTCCACCGAAGGTCCCAGTGGGTGTGCCCGCATGCGTCCCGCACACCCATTTCGGCACACCCCTCACACGTTTCGTGGCCCCATAGGGAGCTCCACCGAAGGTCCCAGTGGGTGTGCCCGCATGCGTCCCGCACACCCATTTCGGCACACCCCTCACACGTTTCGTGGCCCCATAGGGAGCTCCACCGAAGGTCCCAGTGGGTGTGCCCGCATGCGTCCCGCACACCCATTTCGGCACACCCCTCACACGTTTCGTGGCCCCATAGGGAGCTCCACCGAAGGTCCCAGTGGGTGTGCCCGCATGCGTCCCGCACACCCATTGCACACCCTCACACGTTTCGTGGCCCCATAGGGAGCTCCTCCCATTGGGCCCGCATGCGTCCCGCACGCCCATTTCACACGTTTCGTGGCCTTCTAGGGAGCCCACCGAAGGTCCCAGTGGGTGTGCCCGCATGCGTCCCGCACACCCATTTCGGCACACCCCTCACACGTTTCGTGGCCCCATAGGGAGCTCCACCGAAGGTCCCAGTGGGTGTGCCCGCATGCGTCCCGCACACCGATTTCGGCACACCCCTCACACGTTTCGTGGCCCCCTAGGGAGCCCCACCGAAGGTCCCAGTGGGTGTGCCCGCATGCGTCCCGCACACCCATTCGGCACACCCCACACGTTTCGTGGCCCCATAGGGAGCTCCACCGAAGGTCCCAGTGGGTGTGCCCGCCTGCGTCCCGCACACCCATTTCGGCACACCCTTCACACGTTTTGTGGCCCCATACGGAGCTCCATCGAAGGTTCCAGTGGGTGTGCCCGCATGCGTCCCGCACACCCATTTCGGCACACCCCTCACACGTTTCGTGGCCCCATAGGGAGCTCCACCGAAGGTCCCAGTGGGTGTGCCCGCATTCGTCCCGCACACCCCTTTCGGCACACCCCCCACACGTTTCGTGGCCCCATACGGAGCTCCACCGAAGGTCCGAGTGGGCGTGCCCGCATTCGTCCCGCACACCCATTTCGGCACACCGTTCACGCGTTTCGTGGCCCCATAGGGAGCTCCACCGAAGGTCCCCGTGGCGCAGTCCGCACGCGTCTCCCCCACCCAGTACACCTCCGTCGGAGGCCGTCGGAGTTCCGCGCCTCCCTCGCCCGTCGTCGCTCTGCCCAGCGGCAAGGGCCTTGCCCGCTATCAGCCGGCCAGCTAGCTCTCTTTGCTGCGCGCAGCGGGCGACCCGCGCGCGTCGCTGGGACCCCTCCGGGGCGACCTGCGCGCGTCGCTGGGACTCCGCGCTGCGCTGCGCCCGCAGCTTTGGTTTTTTGAGTGCGCGGGCGAAGAGGGAGTAAAAGAAGGGGAGGAAGCGGGCGCGATCCTCGCGGTGGCGTCGCGGCGCGCGGGCGATGCCGTCGGGGAGTCCCGGGGAAGCTCCTTGCGGCGGCCACGCCCAGCGTCACGAGTACTCAGAGGCAGTCATTCACAAACTATTTGCATTCATATACAATTGCACCATGCATTGGCATACTGGCATTCATGCACGTAGACTCGCTCGCACGCAGATTCGTTCACAGTCAGACGCACTCGCGCTCAGATTCACCCGCGCTCAGTCTCCCTACGTACTCAGATCAATCGTTTTCGATCGCGTTGTGTACCAGGCCATTCATTTCGGCACACCACTAGCACGGTTCGTTGCCCCATAGGGATCACCACCGAAAGAGGGAATCACAATTGCGGTACTCTCACCTGCATGTGGTTGGGTCCTTCTTCTGGCTAGTTTTCCCAACCATCCTGTGGTGTTGGGTCCTCGTTTTGAAGAGACAGCGCCCCGCGTTCACTCCTCCGCGTCCCGCTCGCTGCCCCCTCCCTCCTCCCTCCTCCCCCTCCTTGCCTCTGCACTCGGCACACCTCTCACACGTTTCGTAGCCCCATGGGGAGCTCCACCGAAGGCCCCAGTGGTTGCTCTCGCATGCGTTTCCCCCACCCTGGGCAGCGTTTCGTGGCCCCATAGGGAGCTCCACGGAAGGCCCCAGTGGTTGCTCTCGCATGCGTTTCCCCCACCCTGGGCAGCGTTCGTGGCCCCATTGGGAGCTCCACCGAAGGCCCCAGTGGTTGCTCTCGCATGCGTTTCCCCCACCCTGGGCAGCGTTCGTGGCCCCATAGGGAGCTCCACCGAAGGCCCCAGTGGTTGCTCTCGCATGCGTTTCCCCACCCTGGGCAGCGTTTCGTGGCCCCATAGGGAGCTCCACCGAAGGCCCCAGTGGTTGCTCTCGCATGCGTTTCCCCCACCCTGGGCAGCGCTTCGTGGCCCCATAGGGAGCTCCACCGAAGGCCCCAGTGGCTGCTTTCGCGTGCGCTTCCCCCGCCCTGGGCCGCGCTTCGTAGCCCCATAGGGAGCTCCACCGAAGGCCCCAGTGGTTGCTCTCGCATGCGCTTCCCCCACCCTGGGCAGCGTTTCGTGGTCCCACTGGGAGCTCCACCGAAGGCCCCAGTTGCTGCCCCCACCCTGGGCAGCGTTTCGTAGCCCCATAGGGAGCTCCACCGAAGGCCCCAGAGATTGCTGTCGCATGCGTTTCCCCCTACCCTGGGCAGCGCTTCGTAGCCCCATAGGGAGCTCCACCGAAGGCCCCAGTGGTTGCTCTCGCATGCCTTTCCCCCGCCCTGGGCAGCGTTTCGTGGCCCCATAGGGAGCTCCATCGAAGGCCACAGTGGTTGTTTTCGCATGCGCTTCCCCCACCCTGGGCAGCGTTTCGTAGCCCCATAGGGACCCAGTGGTTGCTCTCGCATGCGTTTCCCCCTACCCTGGGCAGCGCGTCGTGGCCCCATAGGGAGCTCCACCGAAGGCCCCAGTGGTTGCCCTCGCATGCCCCCACCCTGGGCAGCGTTTCGTAGCCCCATAGGGAGCTCCACCGAAGGCCCCAGTGGTTGCTCTCGCATGCGGTTCCTCCACCCAGGGCAGCGTTTCGTGGCCCCATAGGGAGCTCCACCGAAGGCCCCAGTGGCTGCTCTCGCATGCGGTTCCCTCACCCAGGGCCGCGTTTCGTGGTCCCATAGGGAGCCCCACCGCAAGCGGCACCCACAACGCGTTACGAACAATTGCTTATGGTTGGGTCCTTCGCCAGGATAATTTTCAAAGTTCGCCTGGCAGTTTCGCTACGCTTGTCAAAAGGGAGATATCAGATTCCATCCTTCTCCTCCTCTTTCTCCTCCTCTGGTTCCTCCTCCTCTGTGGCCTCTTCCACCCTCCCCGACTCCTCCTTCTCCCCCAGGGAAGCCCTTCGCCTCCCCTTCTCCTCCATCTTCCTCCGGCTACGTCCAGCCGCGGCGAATAAAAAGGGCCCGAAGTGCATTTCGAGCCTGTCTTAGTCAAGACGTCGTGGGTGGGCCTTGGAAGCCGCTTCGGCCGTCTTCGTGGTTCTTGGAAGCCCCGGAGAAGAAATGTCATAGAATAGAGATCCCCAAGAGTTCGACCGTCCAGCCTAGCTAGATCTTGAGCGCGCGCGAAGCGCGCGCGATGGTTTTTATTCATATGTATACATAGAACGGGGGACCGGGTCCGGGGGCCGGGGGCCGGCGCCCCGACCACAAATGTGGGGCCCGGGCGTCATTTTCTTTTTGTTTTTACAGGGTTTCGGCGACCCGGGGCCAACAGGGCCCCAAGAGGCTGCAGGGAGGCCCTAGGAGGCCGCAGGGATTGTTCCAGACGTCTTCCAAGACGACTCCCATGACGCCAAGAAGACCCCCGAAGGCCCCGAAGACGCGCCAAGAGGCACACCGAGAGAGCCTCCGTAGCCATTGTGGCTCAAGACACACGCGGCGTGGGGTCGGGAAAAACATGTTTCACTCCCAGCTCCTACTCTTACATCCGCAGAACCCTGTCCACAACTCATCCCACTGAGATGCCGCAGGTGCCAATACATGATGAAGACGACCCTGACCTCTCACCACAGCCTCCACCGCCTCACGACTCCCAGGCTCTGGTTGTACGGAGAAAAAACAACTTAACTGTCCAGACCAGCCTCACGAGGGAGTTCTCTCCCGTGTCTCCCGGCGTGGAGGGGGCACCTTCGCAGTTGGCCTCCCCTTTGTCACCGAAGAGGAAAAGCTACACGAAGCACTGGTTTGCCACCGGCAGCAACCACTCCCGCCAGCAGGTCTCCAGCGAGGATATCCGCAAGATCTGGTGGTTCAGCGTCCGCGCGATGCAGGCCCGCGCCGAGCTCAAGAGGAGGCAGCTGGAGCTGTCCAAGAGGATGCTGAAAGAGCGGTGGAGCGGGTTTCCGTGCGCGCTCTTGTCGACGTACGCCACCAGCTATCAGTGGGCGCTCTTCGTCGTTGTTCATCTCGTTATCACCTTCTTGATTTGGTCTCATTTTTTCCTGAAGAAGTTCAGGGAGCAAGAGGAACTCCCCGAGCTAAGCCCCGCGAAGGACGCCCTCGCCCCGTAGGATGCTGTCATGCCAATGCCCAACTACTGGAAGCGTCTGATTCCGCCGCTGTTGTTTGGCCTCAAGCACGCCATCCTTTGGCAGATTGTGTGGCTGCCTGTAACGATGAGCCGCCACCTTCTTGCCCTAGCTGCTTGAACGAGGATTCGAAACTTCATCCTTCTGGAGCACATGGCGTTCTTCCACATTGCCATGGGATACATCACGTGCTTCTTCATCATCGTTGCCAACCACCTTGTTCTTCGTCTTCTTCGGGCACGGCTGTCGACAGCACCTCGGGCAATTCGGCCACCCTCTCGAGCCCGTCGATTTCTGCGAGAAGATGCAGAGCGAGATGATGATCACAGGACTAGGCATCTTCGTCCTCGTGGTGATCGTGATAGTAAGCTCCTTCCTTCGACGCCACATGCCGTTCGAGTGGTTCTACGTGCTGCACCATTTCGTGTTCGTCTTGTTCGGCCTAGCCATTGCGCACACCCTGGACGACCAGTTTCGGAACGGCACTTGCGTCGGCAAGAGTTGGTCGCAGGGCTTCCGATTCATCGCCACGACATTCAGCTTATATTTCTTGGACATGGCTTGGGGCTTCCTCACCGTGCGGCGCGACGTGCCCGTGCAGGAGGCCGTGATCATTTCCACGAAGAGCATGCTCACGCTGGTGTGCAAGAAGCCGGTCGACTTCCAGTTCGCTCCTGGCCAGTACGCGTACATCCAGATATCGTCTTTGGACATTACGTTCCACCCGTGCTCCATGAGCTCTGCGCCGGAAGAAGTTGTGCTCAGGTTCTACATCGTGGTGTACAAGGGCCAGTGAACCGAGAAGCTGGCCGACGCCATCGAAAAGAAGACGGTCAGCGGAGTGAATATCATGGGTCCGTTTGGTCCAGGGTTCGAATCAAGTAACTTCGTGAGCGTCTTCGCAGTGGGCACAGGGACGGGCATCATGCCCATGATATCGTTGATGAGGGAGCGCTATTTCAGGCTGACCCTCATGAACAAGGAGCTGCTGCAAGGGATTCAAGAAGACCCCGAGAAAGTGGTTCGGCTGAAGGACATGGCGCTCCACAAGGCCGTGGACCACACGAGGCTCATCATGCTGCAGTACCAGTGGTAGCTGCGCTGCATGCGGGTGAGGAGCACGCAGACTTCGATGGTCATGTCTACGGCCACGAGTCGTACTTACTACCCCTACATCTTCGACATCATCGCGTATGTCGTCCTGCTCCTGGACATGTGTCAGGGCTTCTGGACGTTCTCTTGGAAGTACTTGAACAAACTGGAGCTCAATGCCAAGTTCCCAAAGGTCGATGCAGGCCAGTCGAAGGCATTGGAGGTCGTGCGTTACGTCTGCATCTCGTTCGTTTGGGTGCGCCGGGTACTTCTGGGCGAATCCTCGCATCTTCGGGCGGGCCTTTGCGGACGTGCTGGATGGGGTGGTAGTGGCGTTTATGTTCGGCACCCACTTCGCATGGGCGGGCGAGGTTCCGTCCTTCTACATCGCCCCCTCTCACATGGTCGTGCTCTTGCGCGGCTCGTTCGCGCTATGGCGCATCGCGCGCATATACGCCGCGAGTCAGGTCCTGCGCATGGGCGACGCCAGCTCTAAGTTGGGGGTCGAGCACGACCTCGTCAAGAACGGGAAGTTCCGCGTGCTCTGGATCATGCGGGGAGGAGACGGCTTCGCGCCCAATTGCTTGGAGCTCGAGGACATGATGATGGACTTGCTCAAGAAGTTCATCCTCTGGCAGCTGGATCTCCTCTTCGGCCTCGACATCTACCTCACGGGCGTGACCCCAGCCAAGGAGCGGAGGCTCCGGAGGATCATCGAGGGATCGGCTATCGAGAGCTGCACGCGCTTCGAGCGCCCCGACGTTGTCGAGTGGGTGCGACAGGTGCGCCACCACGGGCGGCTCCATGATCGCCTTCTGTGGGAGTCCTGTGGTGGGCTTGCAGGTAAGCCAAGGAGTGCAGGAGGCGAACATGCTCGCCAGCGTGCTGCGGATGGCTGGCTGCCGCATGACGTTCCAGGAGGAGTATTACGGCTTCGTGGGAGGCAAGCCGAAGGCGGTGGTGCGAAGGAGGTCTCTGTAGCCAGCGCTGCAGCGCCTGAGGATCGGACAAGAGTCAGGATCGATCACAGAAACAGAGTCAATGTGACTCGTAGCGAACGCGAGAGACTTCATCGACTTCCTGGCGGCGTCGTCACAGTTTTGATTCACGAATTTCTCCATGACGTCGGCGCCTGTTCCCAGGAGTGTGACATGTTCGTGGCTCCAGCCGGCCACCAATACCCGCTACTTCGTGCTCATGGTTGCTGGGAATGCCGGCTTCTGCATAGAGTACCCTTTTATAGCATCATCTTTGTGCTCGTGCACAGGTTACCCCTACGCGTACAGCATCATCCTCGGGTTCACGGCAGCCTACTACTGCATCCTCGCCTATTTGCTTCTGGGTGCCCAATGCGCGGTCCCGCCTGTCTGCTGGTAAAGGTTCATGTGTACAGTCGAGTAGGTTGCGAGGAGTGGTGTCGTCGCCCCATGGCGTGAACCGGTGATCTGCCAAGAGATTCCCTCTGTTCTGCCGCGAGTGTGGTGCGGAGCGGCAGTCGCGAGCAGGCACCTCCGCGTCTTCACGATTCGATATGGTTGAAGTTGCTCCGTGCCGACGAGGCAGTCGGGTCGACACCAGGGGGTGGACGCACAAGCGGGTCTCATCAGTCTGCAGCTATGCTGGCTGCCACTGTGAGGTGGCCTGGACTTCTTCTGCCGGCTACCGCTTCGCGACAGTGTTTGCTCATGTTAATTATTATGTTCACGTCTCCTACCCATCCTTCTCATTCTTCTCCGAGTCCTCCCAATGACCGCCCTGATCAGATTTGCTGCTCGCCCTTCTCCAGATTCCTCCTTCTGGGGCGCACGCGCTTCGGCGGCAGGCTGCCCTTCGGCATGCGCGAGCCCGCTTGCAGGCGAACGCCCACCCAGTCGCCCTTTCGTGCGGATCATGCGATCCCGATTCGGCGTTTTCTGCAGGCACAGTTTTGCCATCTCGTGGGTGTTTGGTCAAGATGGCCGATCAGCTGCCCAGCTTGTTTTTCTTTCCGTGGTCCGCGCCGCGTGGAACATGTCCACGTGCCAGCGCCCGTGTGGGCACCAGCTGTGTACCTACTCCGATCCTGGCCAGGCCGACCCTGGGCCCAGGATCGGTGCACGAGTCGCCCTGCACTAGGTTTCGGAAAGCACCCTTGAACTTTTCGTATGGTGCATCTGCACGTGCACAAGCGAAGAGAGGAGGGAAGTAAAGGGGAGAGGCAAGCAGAGAGGACCCGAAGGAGGGACAAGGGCGGAGAAGTACGAGGATCCTGGATCCTTTTTCGGCAAAGCTGCCGTGCAGCGTCACGCAGCTCTCCAGACTGTACAAACGGGCCTGGAGTGCGACGTCCATCGGACGGGCGCGTGGCCAAGCACTTCGTATCGCACCCGCATGTTGCAGGGTCTGCCCGTCTGTCCGGCCTTGAGATTTCTGTGCAGACTTCGGCCGGATCAGCAGGGAAGTGGGTTGGGTGCGGTGGAGGTGGTGGTGGAACCGGACGAAGGAACGACAGTAGGTTCTGATTTTTTTGTGCTGGGCTCGACCAATTCACACTACTGTCAGTGTCTTTCTGTTGCACAGGGCTTCTGATACTTTTGTGCGTAGGTCGCGCCAGTGTGCACAATTTGAAGTGGTTGTCCGTTGTCCGGGGCTTCTGAGACTTCAGACTTCTGTGCACCACTTTCAGCGGCTGCCAGGCAGCATTTGGTTGCCATTCAAGCCACAGCTTGGAGGCTGCTACGTGGGTCCCATCCCCCAGCATGTCTGCACTGCGGACCACGAGAGCCGCTACAGGAGGAGGAGGAGGAGGAGGAGAGCCAGGTTGTTGGAGGGGGTCACCAGATGCACGAATGCGCGAGTAATGCAGAAGCTGCTGCGTCGAGCGGCGTGGCTCCCGTGGAAAGGACGTCGGTTCCTGTATGCAGATCTCCTCCTCCCTCGCCTCTTACCTCCGCCCCTCCTCCACCTTCGCCTGCGCAGCCGTCGGCGATCGTAGACCACGGCGAGGGTCTGCGCATCTATCGACACTGCTGGTCTCGCCGACAGCTCGGCCGATATATTTACGTGTCCCGTCCCAGGAGGAAGAATCCCATATTCGTTACATGAGCGTTGCAACAAAATCGGGGTCGTCTTCGCCGACACTCGCGCGTAAGCTACTCGTTTAAGCTCGCGCATGAGCGCCCTCGTCTCCAATGTGGCGTGTCGCGTCAGCGGCCCGCGTAAGCTGCGGCGTAAGATCGCTATGCCATCTCGCGTAAGACCCGTTTTTGGTCGTCGCTCACATGGCGAACATCGTAACTCGCACCACACGGTGTGCACCTGCACCACATATCTTGCACCAATTAGCTTTTGCACCGCATAACTTTTGCACCGCACAGCTCTTGCACCGCATAGCTGACGCCACACGGGCAGCTTTCACCACGCAGCCTGTACCTTATAGCTCGAACCACACACCTTTTGCGTCGGCGGCTGGGCAGAGGGTGACTGCTCTGGCGTAATGGCAACAGGAGACACGCTGTATGCAAATTAAGGCCGCAATGCACGGACGAGGAGGAGGATGAGGAGGAGGAGGAGGAGAAGGAGGAGGAGGAGGAGGAGCCCCAGCGCGACTGGGGGAGAGGAAGCCGAGCCACTCAGAGCTGCCGACTGCGGCGGGGGGAGCGCCGAGGTGGGAGTCCAGCGCAGGCACTGAGCTGCTTTGAGCTGCACTGAGCTGGAGCTGAGTAAGCTAGGGGGAGGCAGCACGGGGATGCAACTGGTGATAGAGAAATACAACGTAGCGGACCCTGACCCGGCCCAAGGCGCCGCTAAAAGCTGGGCCGAGCGCCGAGACAAGCGGGCCAACGGGGCGCGTGCAGGGAGAGGCCCAGGCTTAAGTAGGGCCTGTCCCTCTACAGGAGAAATAAATATTCAAACATAGTCAGACAATAGTTTTGGGACGATTTTTTGTAGCACTTTTTGAATATTTCGGAGTATTTTGGGAGTATTTTTATTTTTTCGTCCCAAATCCGCCTGTAGGGAAACATGCCCGACCTAAGCCGAGGCAGGGGAGCGCCGGGGGGACACAAACACACGCAGCCTGCACCACACACTGCTCACGCATCCAGAGTGCAGGAACCCATGGGTTGCGGGGTCCTCGCGGGCAGACGTCGGGGGCTTGGAGGTTGTTCACGCCAGCACCCATCTCGGCAGTGTGGCTCCTCCAACGAGGGAGAAGAGGATCCACATCTCGGTGATGGTGGTGATCTTCGGGCTTCTATATGTCGGGCATGTCCCTCTACAGGAGGAATATTCAAAGATAGGCAAAGCACAGTCTGGGGACGATTTTTTTGGTATTTGTTTGGCTACCATGGGGCATTCGTGGAGTATTTTTTCTCCCCCCCCAGATCCGCCTGTAGGGGGACATACCCGACCTAAGTCTTCCATCGAGAAGAGACGCACTGCGTAAACATAAACTTTTGGCGCTCCGCGCGGATTTCCTGGATCTGCGCTGGAGCGCCCTCAAGGCGCCTCTGGCACCGCCCCCGGCGCGCTCCGCGCGCCAAGGAGGGAGGTCCAGCTCAGATCCAAGAAATCCGCGCGGACTGCCAAACGTTTATATTGATGCCGTTTTTTGTTCCCCTGTTCTAGGTGTCCGAAAGATTGCCACCAGCACCAACAGACATCTAGGATTATCTTTACCTGCTGGAGGCAACCTCCCGTGTTGGTGTTGGTGCCCATTTCCAAGCCTCCACGAACATGTCATTTGAGTGGACATTTACGGGGCCTCCTGGCCACTGCCGCGCCCCTCGAATCCGATCTCTTCGGGGTCGACAGCGCACCAGCTGCCCTCTGCAGCCGCGCGGCAGGTGCTCGAGTGGGACACCAAGCACGACGGGTCTGGCCTGGCCTTCGTGCGGGCACGCATGCAGGACGCGGGGCGGACGCGCAGGGAGGCGTGCAGCGGAGAACAGGTCCTAAGACGCACACGCCGACGATCCGCGAGGGGGACTCGCAGGCCGCCTGCGATCCGATCCGACGCCGTTCGATTCGCCCGCTGGGGCCGCGACTGCGATTCGATTCGACGCTTCGGTTCTCCGGCATCGGCCATATGGCGATCCGGAGCTGGGGCGCGGCGAGCCGAGTTTGGTCCGGTCCGGGAGGATCCGTCAGCGATTTGGTCCGTTTTCGATCCGATCCGATCCCGCGATTCGGACCTCGAGGTGGCCTTCCGATTCCGCGATTCGGACCTTCGCTCGATTCTTCGCTGCCTCGTGCCCAGCGATTTGGTCTGTTTCCGATTCGATCCATCTGCCCCAGGGGTCTGGGTCCGGTCTGCGCGCTTCGGTGCTACAACCTCCAAATCCTGGGCAGACCTCGCAGGCGACTTCTTGAAGTTCGCATGCCTGCGACTGGGCTCCGGCCCGCCGGCCGGCGGACTCGCGCGTCTGCGTCTGCGTCTGCGTCTGCGTCCGCCCCAGGGGTCTGGCGGGGTCGCTTTCCATCCCTCGAGGGCTTGATCGACATGAGTATACGCTTTCAGAGGTCCGCGCAGACCTCTTGGGGCCGCGCCGGTGGTGCCGCCAGGGGAGCCTGGCGCCGATCTGCAGACTCCATGCGTGCCTTCGAACGCTCATACAGTGGAAACCCACGTCAAGAAACCCTGCTTGCCTCCAGGGTGCCCTGGATTTCTTGGGTTTCGATGTCTTTGCTGTGGAAAGCGTGACGTTCCCATAGTTCCCATACAAAAACAACCATGGACGTCCTTGGGTTTCAGGGTTGGGTTTCTTTTGGAAGGTTTCTTGTGGTCGAGCTCCGACTGTACTCCTGCGGTGTGCTCTCCCTGTCGTCCCAAGCCCCAGGTCTCTCGGTCCCCTCCCCGTTGTTCTAGGCTTCCCAGATGGGGTCCGAGTAGATGGGATCGGAGGATCGCGCCGTATCTCCGATGCAT